CAGTAGTTCACATACTATTGTTACCGTCCCTGCCAACCCACTTGTTGATTTTACAATGCATGCAAGTCCTTCTAGACAATCTGTTTCTAATTAATGTCAATTCTCTTATAGAGGTTTAATTTATTATTTTTTCTCTTTTTTCTTATATAGGTAGATATATATGTTATGACACAAACTTATTTTTTAAACATGCTACCATCATTGCCCAGACAACAAAGGCTATGGAAGGATGTGTTTAAAACTTTATATTAAATACAATTGAAGAGTTTATAATGTTATGAATGGGGATAACTGATTTCTTAACTAGGGTAATTGTTATGACATGCATTAGATAAGTAGTGCTCTTTGAAAAAAAAAAAAAAAAAAAAAAAAAAAAAAAAAAAAAAAAAGAAAAGAAAAAAAAAGAAAAAAAAAAGAAATATAAAGAATTTTTATTCCTACTCGTTGATAAAGTTGATAAAAGTATTTGTAACTATGTATGATACTGACTTTATATGAGTAATGTTAAAATTCACTTTACACTTTTCAAGTAGTTGTAAAAAAAAGAGAACAATCGAATAAGATCATAAAGTTTTTATTGACCATCGTTTATAGCATATATAAAGTGTGTTATAAACTGCCATATCTTATAATTGCTAACCTTCCATAAATTTGATAAATTTTCGGAAGGTTATCAATCTTTCTCCAAATTTAATAAACTGTATGCATTTAAGTATCGTTATAAAAATATTGCGAGAATATAAGTATTAACTCAGCAAGACAGCAGATGGCAGTTTATTACATCTCTGGATTATGCATTTATAAGAGTACTATGTAATATAAAAGTTTATCCATCCACAGCTTCAGTTTTCTGGGCCAATCTTTGCAATCGTATATGTGAATACTTATGTGGATGTCCCAAAATGCCAATCAATCTTTAAATGTTCGGGTCCAAAAATTCTGAAAAGTAATTCATATTAACTAGGATCTAATGTTGACATTGTACCAGATGCATTTGAAACTGTCTGTGCAAAACTCCATGACGTTAAAATTAAGGAATCCAATGATGTGTTCAGGTAATATTATCCTGATCCACTTAGAGCAATAATATACAAATTAAATTTTTAATAAAATATCTGAAGTTTGATAAACTTATCATATCACTATGATGATATATTTAGGCAGTATTACTAGGGACGAAAATTGGTTAAGAATATGGCAATCAGATTGGCGAACTGGACCAGCAAATTTAATTAAGATATTTTGAGATGAGCAATGAAGACACAAAATAGGAATGGGCTGAATCAATTTGATACGAAATTTAAGTATAATAATAAATAAATAAAGGCTGGTAGTTCCTAGATTTCAGAAATGGACACGTTACAGAAAGATAACACAAACTAATGTACCTGTTGAAAACAGATTATTGTGATTATTCTCCAGATCTTATTTGAATCATACATGTTTCATGCACAAAAAATTTTCTGATAAGAGATATGTATTTTATTAGGAAAGTCCATGTACGATCGCAAAAGGCTTTCTTATTTCTTTTTTAATATCCTTTTGAATTTTTAATTAAAAACTTATATTAAAAAATATCTCTCAATCTACAGAACTCTTATTTAAGATAGCAGTGCATTTTATAATACATACATAAACGATTTTGCATTTTCATAGATATTTTTAATGAACTTTAAAACTTGGTCCATGTGGACGAGGGCTGAGCATTTTATATGTGCAATATATATTGCTAATTTTGTCTAGATTCAAGTATGTTACTAAATTTTAATATAACTGGCTGATAGCAACCTATTGAATCTGATAACAACTATTAGAAATATAAATAAAGTTTGTGAAATTTATGATCTACTATCATACTTTAAGTCCATTTGACAAGAAATTAAAAGCATGGTTCAACTCTTTTCCATCTAGGTAAGTTGTTCAGAAAATGAACTCTACACAGGTTGTCTTATTGTATTGCATTCACATATATTCTTATGTGTTGTGCATATGAAATATAAGCAAAAGATGAGAACCTTAGATTAAATAATTTCGATCAATGAGATACTCATGCCAGCAACTGCTAGAAAAGAAAAGAGTTAATATACAAATTTTTATATAATATTATGCACTGCCCATCTGGCTTAAGTGAATTTACTATGAATAAGGAAAAAAGATTATTTGTATGAAGATAAATATTGAATATATATGATTTGTTAAAAGACGATGTAAGAAGCTTGCCTTGCCTTTTGACAAATTTTCATTATACATTTATATTGACTAGGAGAGTCTATGATCTCTTTATTGTGAATATTAATTTCCCCTGTAACTAACATTATAATTTACGATTTATAATAGTAAAAAGGACGGATCATATTGGTTAAATAAAATGAAAAATCTTGATATCACACTATGGAATTATGTTTATAATTTATTTATAATAAAAACTAATTATTCATATAAGTATTCTATAAAAATCGTACACTTCATATTATCATTAATTATTTATCAAATCTTTAATCTGTGCAATGATCCTTCCTTCTAGAGAGAAAAAAATAATTGTTTAATTTATTTATTTTTTAAGTCAAATTTATTGCAATATAATATTCCTTGCTATACAAAATTATATATTTTTATACAGATTATCTTTGCTTTTTATGCTACATTTTTTGTGTGTATATTGATAGAAAAGAAAATATTAATTATCACATTTTCCAGGTCAATCTGTTCGCAATATTCTAAGAATTATTTATTTTTGATTATCTTGTAAATTGAAATTAATAATTCATTATTTTCTAAGAAAAATATACTTATATATATATATATATATATATATAAGAGAGAGAGAGAGTCATGGATTAATGGATACCAGAATAGTTAGGTTGAGTAGCATGTGTTCGAAGAAATATGATTGGGTGATACATACGATATATTATATATTTAAAAGCGTGTTTTTGAAAAGAGAAAATGTTAAACCAAAAGTTTATTGATGAACATTATGCAGAATTTAGAGGAGTCCATTTTATGTGCTGCTAACTATTATTGTCACATAATAAAATGATATTTCTCATGAATATGAAGATAAATTCAATATATGCATATACTTTAACAGCAATTTGATTAATTTCAAAATAATTGATTAAACATTACTATAAAATTTCTTTAGAACAATCTACAATGAAACAGGACAGATGACAAGGTTGTGCTTATATAATATTAAGTCTAAGATTTAATCAGATATTTATATTATCCTTATGTCAAAGAAATATGTGTGCATTTTTATTCTAATTAATCGAAACCAATGTTTATACTATAATTAAGATTTTTATCATATAAAAACAGCAATATGATTTATATTAATGATATTGATAGTATAATTGTATGTGTATTAATTTTGGCAAAATATGCTAAACAAATCCTTAATCATATTTTTCACATTGTAGCCATTGATAAAATGTCTACAAATATGACTGATGTAAGGAGTTCAAATATTCTCTCTCATGATGTGACCTGGCAGATTCCAAACAAGTACCTTTTATCAAGAATCATGCAAGATTGTAATTTTTTAAATTAACTGCCATATCAGGTTTCTAAAATTTTCAAAGATAAAAGAGATTTTGATAACAATTTAAAAATATTATAATTAATCCTATATATATGATAAAAATCTCTAATGGACTGATAGTTTAGAAACCTGATTTAAAATAATATTAATAATTATAATATGTAAAAGAAATTTTGCATAAATCTTGCAAGTTTCTACTATGAATCAATTACCCTAATGCACTATGATATTAAATATAATGTTTACTTAGAATAACGTGGTGCAACTAGAAACATACAAAATTTTCTCTATCTTGCTTACAAATTTATATATATATGTATATACATATACATACGCATACACACAAACACATACATATATATACATATACTTAAGATCAGTGTTCGTCCTTCTGATTCTTGTTATTAAAGAAACAGGTTTTTCATAATATGCATTTATATTACGAACGAATTGTCTTTTATATTAGATGAGGAAGTGGATATAGAATTTTTTGAATACATTATGGCAGGGATGAATATGTATGTAAATATATGCTAGGAGGCATTCGATCTCGCAAGATGTTCTAGTTATACGATGACTTTTTCATCATTGTGCTACTTGTTAACATCAGAAAACATCAATATTAAGTACGATTCTGAGACTGATCGATGTATTTAGCAGATAACTCTAATTTACACAAAACTGTTAGATGTAGGTAAATATTGTAACATTTATGAATATGCTATGAAATTCTAATAATAACAGACAATGACTGCCGTAATTAATATTCCATAATTACAATGATTATTCTGTTTATATAATGATTATTATATATTTGTGTGTGTATGTATGTGTGTATATATATATATATATATATATATATATATATATATATATATATATATATATATCTGTATATGTATATGTATATATATACGCGCGCGCGCGCACACACACATAAATAATATATAATTAATCAATTGATTACAATCATAAAAGTATCTTTGCAATTACCACTCTCATTGATTTTATGATAAAAAGTGTATATAATTGAAAAGATTATGGTTACATATATATATATATATATATATATATATATATATATATATATATATATATATACGTGTATATACACATGTACACACACACACACACACACACACACACACACACACACTTAGACCATGTACAAGATTGTAATAAAAAGATTATTTGTAAGAATCCATCGATCATACAAATTAGAATAATAATAATAATAATAATAATAATAATAATAATAATAATAATAATAATAATAATAATAATAATAATAATAATAATAAAAATAATAATAATAATAATAATGATAATAATAATAATAATAATAATAATAATAATATGATTAATGCAAAGTAACATTGTGCCGATATGCTTGTCGACATACATTACCCAAACTCAAATTTGTGTCAATTAGTCTCATTGCAACAAGATTTAAATGTTAAGAACCATATTCTTAGTATTGTAGATATGTTGTAAAAATAAGTACATATTTTGTTTTTTAACAAAATCGACAAATCAGTAAGTTTCTTATTAAAGTAATGAATTTGTATTATATAGATGAATATATATATATATATTTATATATATGTATATATATGTATATATATGTATATATATGTATATATATGTATATATATGTAAGAAGTCTGTGAGATACCAAATTTCATAAGTGAATAAATAAAATATATGTTGCATACAAATATACATATATATATATATATATATATATATATATATATATATATATATATATATATATATATATATATATATATAGAGAGAGAGAGAGAGAGAGAGGGAGAGAGAGAGGGAGAGAGGGAGAGAGAGAGTATATTTATAATTTTTATAAGATTTTTTTTATCTCACAATATCATATATTTATCTTGAAAAAATCAGTTTATCTTTATGTACATGTATATTCTAGATTTTAATAACAATGAGTAAATATGAGGAACTATTATTTAAATTCTTGTTATGAAATAATTACATCTTATAAATAATAATCCATAATATCATTATCAAAAGTGAGTAATTCTATATTTATCCATAATTATCTTGAGTTAGTAAACAATAGTAAACAAAAATATTTTATATGGAGCTAAAAAATTATCTGATAATCTTAATCAATATGTAACTTTACAAGGAGAAAGATATAATATGTGCACTATATTTATGAACAATTTTTAAATATATAGTATTTTATATTACATTCTTTATAATTTATATATAATTTTATAAATGATTAATATGTATCATAGTGTTTTATGATTATACTTCGTTTAAAACGCGTATTATATTCTTCCAATTTCAATGAATGAATTCATCTATACTTATGATTCGTCTACAACGTGTTTAAATTCTTATTTTCGGCATTATATACAGATGGCAGTACTGTCATGTTATTTTGATCTCGTATAACCATGCATTCAGATGCATTTTATGTCGTAGCGAGTACAAGGACGAAAGGTTTTCTTTTGTATAACTTTTTCTTTAATTGATTTTGCTGTTTAGATATGAGTACGATAACAATTGATAAAAAAATAGGTTAGTCTCCGAACATAACATGATTTTTAATTTATCTATACATATTGTTTAATATAAATCAATTGATTATTTTAGAACAATGCTCATATTCTGACACATTTTCGTACTTCTATATTTTTATTGTATCGACAGCAGTTAAAGGAAGTGAAGCCATTTCTTTGATTTCATAACTTTTTCCCCCTTTCTTTTTGTCCAAATCAAGGTGGTTCCTACACATTCTAATAATATTATTACAATATGATGAAATGTTTGAAACCAAGATTAATAACTTTCGATGTAACTGGAACATTATTAATGACGAAGTTAGAAGAACATTATATTGAGGTCGGACGTAAATATGGTTTATCAATCGAACCTCGTCAATTGGCGCAAAGTTTTAAATACAATTTTCGGCGTCTTGCTGTTGAACATCCCATATATGGAAAATATACCGGCCTTGGATGGGAAAATTGGTGGAGAACGATCGTTTACAATGTATTTAAAGATCAAAAAAAGAACATTCCTTCTGAAACTCTTGACCAGGTGAAAATTTGACATCAGTACGTTAATGTGTTATCTTTAAGCTTTTATATATAAAAACAAAAGAAAACGGCTAGAGAGATAACAATTGCATTTTGCATCATTTTGCGCAGTTTATATTTAAAATACTTACAATGATCTAGATTATAACTTACGTGATAAAAAATAATACGTTTTTGTATTGGATCATATATTAAGAGAATATTGAAAATACGTTTCGTTGATATTAATTATTAATATTAATACAAATATAATATTCTTTTATCTATCGAAAAATAGTATCGATGATATTGTTGATTCACATCAATTTGTAATCAAAGGAAAAATTTGCCATTGTCGTGAAATGAAAACTAATCTTTTTTACTAATGGAAATAAATATTTTAAAAATGTTAATTTAATTAACATATATTAATATATATTAATATATAATTAATATATATTAACCTATATTAATATATAATTAATATATATTAACATATATTAATATATAATTAATATATATTATAATTATTGTTGTTATGAAATTTGTTAATGATTGTATTATTTACGCCTTTTATGTTAACAATTTTTAGGTTGCAAATACCCTGATAGAATGTTACAGCACAAGTAGATGCTGGCATATGTATCCAGGGACAATCGAATTACTCGAATGCCTTCGTAAATATAGAATTGTTTTAGGAGTGATATCCAATTTTGATGAGAGATTGGAACCAATTCTAATTGATCTCAAGATTAGACCGTTTTTTTCCTTTGTATTAACATCGTACAATTTTGGCAAGGAGAAGCCAGACGTATCAATATTCGTTGAAGCTCTACGATTAGCAAATAAAGATCAAAAAGTAGACATCATACCTCAAGAGGCTATACATATAGGCGATATGATAGATAACGATTATCTTGGTGCCAAAAATGCACAATGGAATGCACTTTTAATCAGTCATGAACAAAAATCTATAAACGAAAGAGAAGTTTGTAAAGAAGATATTTTTATAAATCTTCAAGATCTACAAAGGCACTTTGAAATATTTTTAAATAAAATAAAAGATCAAGAAAAGGTTTGAATTATCATAAATAATATGAAGATAATCTTTTAAGTAGTAGCATATTAATAAAAATTAAAAAATTGTTAAATTTTATGCAATGACTTCGTAGTATAATTCTGTCAACTATAGAAGCTTTGTTTATTTTTAACTTTATGATACTGTTAGATACTAATATATTTTATTGAACATACGTTATTCGCATAATAAAAAAAGAAATAATATAAAATATTTTAAACTTTTTTATACAATTTATTTTTTGTTAGATTTTCAACATATGTACATACATATGTACTTTTAAAATAGATTGGAAATATGCACTTTTATTTTCATATTCAATCATATGGCTAGAAACTAATCATGCAAATAGATAGATATATATTAAATACCTAATATTTTATTTTAATACCTTATACAACAAAAATATATAAAATGTATACAAATGTATATAAAATGTATATATAAAAAGGTATCAATTACATTTGCTAGTTTTACTTATTCAAATAAATAGATACAAAGAAAGTATTTATATCTTGCTTTATCTTCAAAGTCTTGACTGCATACCACCACTAGCAATAATTGTTTCCCCAGTAATATATGAAGCATCATTACTTGCTAAAAAGGCAGCAATGCCACCAATCTCATCTGGCTTTCCAATTCTTCCAAGTGGAATTTTTTCTATAGTAGCTGCTTTTATTGATTCAGATTTGTGCAACTGTAAAATATCAAAGATTAATTTTCTTCTTTGTGGAGATAGAAATATAAACAAATTATAAAAACATACTGGCTCTGAGAATTTGGTTTCAATAATACCAGGAGCTATGCAATTGACACGAATTCCATATGTAGATAAATTTTCAGCAGCAGCTTTACAAAGTCCTAACAATGCTGTTTTACTAACCGAATAAACTCCAAAAAGCTGAAATTGTATAAAACTGAATATTGGCAATGATCTAATTTATAATTAGATTGTATTCTATATTAATTTATAAACAATAATAGTACTTTGATTAATGTGTGATAAAAATACATACATTAAATGGTTGATATCCTGTTATAGATGATATAATAATTATTGATGGTAATTTACTCTTTTTTAAAAGAGGCAAAGATTCTTTCATAAGTAAATATGTACATTTAACATTAATATCGAATATTTTATCCCACACTTCCTCTTCACTTTCTAGAACTGGTCCAACTTGTGGATTTACTGCTGCATTAGAAACCAAAATATCCAGACCTCCGAATACAGATATTGTCTAAAACATTTTTGTTATTTATTCTTAATAATCTATATAGTAACTTATATAATATTGTATATATAAATTTTTGCAATATACTTCATCAAATAGTTTTTTTCTTTCTTCAGATTTTCCTACATGACAAACAGTACCAGCAACAGATAAACCTTCTTGAAGTAATTCATCCACAGCTTTTTTTACATTAGATTCTTTTCTGCTACAGATCATAACTTTGGCACCTTCCTGAGCTAAACGTTTGGCTATAGAATATCCTATCCTATAAGAAGATATTAACTGGCTAATTCTAATAGTATTGTTTGATTATATAACATTCTATTTTGATTGGAAATTGCACATGTATTTATATTCATATTAAATAAATGAAATAATAATCACCCATTTGTAGATGCTGTGACGATTGCAACTTTTTTTTCCAATCGTTTGCACTTTACCTGTGAGTTATTACCAAAATACCGCATATTTCGACCTACAGCCACTCGTAAAATTGTACAGAAATACGACACTATTGTGAAATCAATAATCATAATAACTTTTCATTAGCATAAATTTATCACAAAGTTAAAATATAATTTATTAGGGTCATATATCAAATATAAATAAAAGAAAACAATTATACTTACGTTGATGTAACATAATATTTATGTTACGTAACTTCATAAATATTTGTATTATTTCAGTGATAAAATATTAATTTATTCATTAATCTATATTCATAATTAATTATAAATCATTATATTTATCATTAATTATTAACAAATAATTTATTAATGAATTCAATGTAAATAATTTTCGTTGGAAAAGTTAGACAAATTTTCTAAGTAAAATGATAATATAAAGATAAATAAGCTTCACAGATGTCATTTATCACTGAGAGCACAAATAATCTTTGCGCGCGAAATATAAATATCGAAATGTTAATATCTTATCGAAAACGGATTATTGCAGTTTCTTAGAAAAAGTTTATCTTGAGAAAAAGAATATTTAGGAATTATAATGGTAACAGGATAATAATTAACATATTTTTTATACAATTTTTAATATGGTATAAACTACTTTTAAAAATAATATTTATGTTTTATTATCACGTCAATTCGCCACAAGCTGATATAACAATCTTTTGAGTTGTAGTACCTGACTTTGTTCCATACTTTTCCATTTTTTTCAAAACATCTAAACCACTAAGAACGTGACCAAAAACTACATGTTTACCATCTAACCAATCTGTGCGTGCTGTACAAAGAAAAAATTGCGATCCATTTGTATTTGACCCTGAATTTGCCATTGACAAAGTACCTGGTCCTGTGTGTTTTAATTCAAAGTTTTCATCCTCGAACTTATTTCCGTATATCGATTTTCCACCAGTTCCGTCATTGTTAGTAAAATCTCCTCCTTGACACATCTATTACACAATTGTTAAGGATCCATGTGTGCTTTCTTATATTTATCAAAATTTTGTAATTTAAAAAATTAAAAGAGGAAAAGGATACAAAATCTGGAATAATCCTGTGAAAAGTACTGCCTTGATATCCATAACCTTTTTCATGAGTACAAAGTGCACGAAAGTTTTCTGCAGTTTTTGGTACAATATCTGCTCTTAGCATCATAATAATTCTACCTAATTCTTGCTTTCCAATGTTGATATCAAAGTAAACCTGTGGATTTTTTTTAGGTTTTTTCGATTGAGATGCATCATCAGTTTTTGAATTTTCATCCGTTTTAAGAGTTTCACCCGCATGTTCTTGCAGCCAAGCATCATCTGCCCATACTGGTTTTGACGAACCTTCCTTTATCTTTTGAGGCTTAGCAATATTTACTCTTATTGTCCGTCCAAATAACTCTGAATCATTCTGTCAATCAATATTGATAAATTTTGGTATAATCTATCAATCTTGTATTATTAAATCAATATGTTATCAATAAGCCATTTAGAAAATGTAATGACATTTACAATATATGTTTACAAATTTATTTTTCATTGTACTCAAAAGATATCATACTATATATGAAATATTACAATTTATTATAATTTATAAATATACCATATTATCTATTGCTGCTGCTGCATCTTCAGCAGTTTCAAACTCAATAAATGCGAATCCCCTATGTTTCTCAGATTCATAATCTAATGGTATTTGCACATCAATTATTTCTCCAAATGGTATAAATGCAGCATGCAGTACTTTTTCATCTACTTCTTCTGCTAAACCACCTATATAAGATAACAACGTACTTATATAAATATAGTCAACAATCATAAACTCATTTTGATTACAAATTTCCAAGGAGGTTAGTCAAGTTGTTATCATATATATTTATCATTTTATCCATTATCATTAAATTTATATGTTTAACAATCATTCCCATACCTACGTAGATAGTTCTCTTTGTATTGCTACTCATGCTTTGTGCTCTCGCATATGTTTTTCAATTTTTATATACACGAGACTTAACCAAACAAACACGTCTCGACACCGGCTTTATTATTGACTGAAGAACAACGGTTGTCAGCGACATCATCGCCATTATCTCAGAATCGGAATGAAAAGGGATTAATGTCAAAGTACTCAAAAAGAACCACGTTATATTATATAAGGTCAATTTGTCACGTTAATATTCACAATTGATGGATATTTAAACGTTGACGTAGCCCTACGGCTTTGTTAAAATTGCGTAAAAGAATCATTTATAAAAGATCATTTTATTATCATATCATAAGGATTCAAACATAACAAATTATTAAATAGTTCTTTATTTGAACTTAGAGGTAAGTGACATTGATAGTAATTTAAATATATAGATTTTATATCATTTATTATATGTCAGTTTATAAATAATTTAGAATAATTAATAAATAATTTAGAATCTTAGAATATGCCTATATTGCTCTTACAAGTATTCTTTTATTATATGTACCTTTGCAAGTTTTTTATTATATTTTCAACAGATCGAAATGCCTGTTATTATCATGCAGTCGTTAAAAGAAGGAGTAAAGTTGCATGCAAATATTGCTAGCCGTGGATTACATTTATTAAGAGATCTGGCTTATATTGACGGCAAGTGGTTAGGAGCAAACAGTTGTCAGACGTTTCCTGTTCAAAATCCAGTTGATAAATCTGTCATTAAAAATGTTCCTGATATGAATGCAGAAGATACTCGAATAGCTATTAATGCAGCATCTAAGGCATTTGAAACATTCAAATCTACAACAGCAAAAGAGAGAAGTGATTTATTAAGAAACTGGTATAATCTAATGGTTAAACATTCAGAAGATTTAGCTAAAATTTTGACTAAAGAAAATGGTAAATCATTGGCAGAATCTAGAGGAGAAATTAAATATGGAAATTCTTTTATCGAATGGTTTTCTGAAGAAGCAAGACGCATTAATGGAGAAGTTCTTCAAGCTCCAGTACATAACAGAGAATTACTTTTATTAAGACAACCGGTTGGAGTATCTGCTTTAATTACACCATGGAATTTTCCTCATGCAATGATTACCCGAAAAGCTGGTGCTGCTTTTGCTGCTGGATGTACTTGTGTTGTTAAACCATCCGAGGATACACCACTCACTGCACTAGCATTAGCTGATCTTGCAGAAAAAGCAGGTTTTCCTGCTGGTACTTTTAATGTAGTTACAACAAGTATAAAAAATTCTGCAGCAGTTGGCAAGGAACTTTGTGATAATCCTGCAATAAGAGTTGTTTCATTTACTGGGTCTACGGGTGTTGGAAAGATTTTATATCAACAGTGTGCAGGAACCATGAAGCGTCTTAGTCTTGAACTTGGAGGTAATGCACCATATATTGTCTTTAATACTGCTGATTTGGATGCAGCTGTAGCAGGAGCAATGGCTAGCAAGTTCCGTAACACAGGTCAGACTTGTGTTTCTGCCAACAGATTTTTTGTACAAGCAGAAATATTTGATAAATTTATTGAAAAATATTTGGTTAAAATTAAAAGTGAAATTAAAATGGGTGATGGTAGTAAAGAAGGTATCACTCATGGGCCTCTTATTAAGGATAGTCAATTGAAAATGGTAGATGATTTAGTTCAAGATGCAGTCTGTAAGGGAGCTAAAGTACATTGTGGTGGCAAACCATTACCTGAATTGGGTCCTTTATTTTATGCTCCTACATTGCTCACAGACGTTACTAAAGATATGACAATATATAATAAAGAAATATTTGGTCCTGTGGCTGTTATTAATAAATTCCATAATGAAGAAGATGTTTTGAAAAAAGCCAATGATACTCCTGTGGGATTAGCTGGATATTTTTATTCGCAAGATATATCACAAGTATTTAGAGTAGCAAGGAAGATGGAAGTTGGTATGGTGGGTGTAAATGAAGGATTAATTTCATGCGCGGAAGCTGCATTTGGAGGTGTAAAGGAATCAGGATTAGGGAGGGAAGGGTCTAGTCATGGTATTGATGATTTTACTGATATTAAATATGTATGTATAGGAAATTTAAGGAATTAACTATTAAATAGTTAAAATTAAGCAGATATAATCAATAATATGAAACAAAATTTAGAGTAAGTTTACTTTAAAAGTAAAATTCTAAATATATCCTGAGGGCTTCCATAAAAATATTTAAAGTTACTATTAGTTTGTATATAGTATATTCTTATAGTGAGAGTAATAAGTAATATACAAATAATATTTAAATATTATTACATTATTATATATTATAATATTTTTTTTTTATATCAATAGTAAATTAAATGACAAGTTATATTAAATTCTTGGTTTTGATCTAAGAGTACTGATATGTATCCAAACACTAATGATAGAATTATACAGTATCATAATTTATTTAGCATAGTATACCTAATGAGTATTCCTTTTTTTTTAATGAAATAAATGATGTGATAATATTTCACAGTACGATTTAATTTCGATTGATAGTATATATACGTGCTATTTGTTATTTAATGAAATATTTTAAAATATTTTTTACGTCATGTTTATGCATTAAATATTTGATTAATAAATCAAGAACAACAAATTCTACTAATGATAAATGAATGATGATATAATGACTTCAAGATATGTAAATGCAAATGAATAAATAAATAAATATATATATATGTATAGTATATATGTAGTATATATTTATAATATATTTATTTATCAAATTTCTTTAATTCTCGATGGATATTTTTTTTTGTCTAAAAACCTTTATTTTTATACTCGTCATTTTTTCACGAATATCATATCGTATCACTTGATGTGTTTTTTGGCCAGTGTTATTGAAGCTTTAAAACGACTTCAATAATTTTTGATATCATAATTTTCAGAAGTCAAACGAAAGACATTGACTTTGTACGCTATAATTTTGCCATTTCCACTGTTGGACTTGTATTCTTTTGTGATTTCATGCTAGATCTATGAATTAGATTACTTCGCATCACTTCACCACGAAGAGATGCTCTCATCGAAATTCTCGCGCTAGTTCTGCCAAATGATCGGAATATTTCAGGTGCCGGGGGTTCTTTGTCTTGCAATTTTCTAGAATAAAACGAAAGAAAAATTAATAAAAAAAATATATTATCAATATTCGTTGAATATTCGTGTATACTTACTTTGAGAAGCAAGGTATATCCCACATTTTTTGATTCAAACCAAAATTCTCACCATCTTCTAAAGTCTGTGGCAGATCTTTGTCTAATG